ACTTGCTCACCATGGCTTGCTCAACCTGCTTTCCTATAGAACCCGGGATCACAGTCCGAGCAGCACAGATATGTTGAGGTAGTCAGGTTCCAGGTGCCAATGACACCTTTAGGACTAAAAGAAACAATGCTTGTCAAACCCGCCCACAGCTCACACTGTGTCTGGTCTGTGAGCCAAGCCAGTCTCTTCCACAGCTCTATTTCCCAAAACCTTGGGGCTTTTTAGCTACAGCATTCCCTGATTATTTCTATTTAGGTAACTTGTTTATGCATGTTTAATAATTGATTTACAAATTACATAATCTCACCTTAGACCTCCTCTTAAACGCAGCTCCCATATTGGTGCTGCTTCTTTTTAAAGATGGAAATGAATGGAAATGAATGCTGGGTGCATTTCTCCAGGCCCTGCCTGAGGTAATGCGGAAAGGGCTTGCTCTTCACGTGGGGTGGACAGCTGGGGGCCTGGCTGCCACAGCTAAGAGTCATTCTGGTTCATTTGTACTTCGGTGTGGCTAAAGTCTTTGAAATCTGAGTTGGTTCTTTACTCATATCCGAGCTGAATGTTACGTGAGAGCCCTGAGCTGTGCACACTGTTAGACGGATCATTAATTCTCCCCAGGAGTGCAAGTCCTTTTTGGCTTTGTACCAAGATGACATTATGAGAAAGTAGCTTTACCTCCTGCTTCCAGTACTGAAGTGTGTCTCAGAAGGAAGGGCAAGAGGCTCTTCAGTCAGGTTGACGATGAGAAGGTATCAGATCCGGAGGCTTCTGTCTTAGGTGAGAGAATGTGGCACAGGGGGACTTCTAGGAGGGCCTGCTTAGTTGTCTGGGTAATGGGCATCTGGAAGAGGAAGGATGGGAAGCATAGTGTAGTCCCTCTGGGGGCACTATTGAGACCCTACATAGGTTAAAAATGGAACCACAGCCTGAGCAAGCAATCCCGCTGCTGAGTGAGAGGTTGAAGAACAGACATGAGTATGCTGGGGAGAGCTCTGCCCTCCACGTTCGTTGTAGCTCCACTCACGCGGATTGAGCTTTAGAACCACCCCACCTACGTGCCCACCTATGGATGAATGGCCAGAGGGAATGCATTTGCATACACAGTGGGGCGCTATTCAGTCTTAAGGTAGTGATTCTGTCATCTATGACAACATGGACGAATCCGGAAGACAGTCATGATCAGAGGATTTAGACACACAAGTAAGTATGAGATCTTACTTGTACATGTGATCTAAAAATGTTAATGTTTCAAAAACAGTAAAACGGCCATTTGCTGATGGCTTGGGACATGGTGGCTGAAGAGACAAACTTTCAATCAGCAAATGTAAGGTCAGGGTACCTGTTGTACATCATGGCGACAACAGATAGTACCAAAGGTTTAAGACTTGAAAGCTGTTAAGGCTTCTCTTTCTAAGTGTTACTACCCCCAAAAAAGCACGTGTGGGTAACATAGGAGGAAGTGTGTCACTGTGGAGGCAGACTTTGAGTCTTATATATGCTCAAGGCATACCCAGTGACACAATCTCCTTCTGCCGCCTGTGGATCAAGATGTAGAACTCTCGGCTTCTCCAGCACCATGTTCTGCCTGCACGCTGCCGTGCTTCCTGCCATGACGATAACGGACTAAACCTCTGAAACTGTAAGCCAGCCTCAAGTAAATGTTTTCCTTTATAAGAGTGGCCGTGGCCGTGGCGTCTTTCATAGCAATAAAACCCTACCTGAGACAAAAGTCTTCAGGTTTGGAGCCAACTATCTATCTATCTATAGCCAACTGTCTATAAGAAAAAAAAATGATTAAAAAACTATGGGCAACTATACCGAACATGATTGAAGGAAAGAATGCAATCTAACAGTAACAGGCCAAGGTGGGGTAACCCACAGAGGCCGACTGTCCAGGCCTTTCATGACCTTTCTGGACAGGGCTCCTTCCTTCAGAGGGAGAGGCAGGACTCTTCTGGAATGGCAGGTGTTGGAACCTGCAATCACTGTACTACAGATGACTCAGAAGGCCAAAGGAAATGGTGGTAACGTCATCAGGGTTTATTTTTCACACTGATTGTTATACTCTGTCTGTGTGTGCGTGTGTGCACATGAGCACGAGTCACTTCTCTCCTTTAACGGTGTGGGCTCCAGGGACTGAACTCGGGTGGCCAGGCCAGGCGACAAGCACCTTTTCCCTACCAGGACTTTCCACCCAATATTTTTAGAGTTTTATGGTTGGCTTTGGCGAAAAGGGTTTTACTTGTATGGCTGAGTAGGGGTCTGAGGGCCTTTGGACCACCGTGGTCCCAGAGCTTGTGAGGGATAGCTGAGGACCACTGCATTATTCCGACTGCCCACAACTGAGGGGCCCATGCTGCTTGGAGGTCCAACGCATGGGATTTCTGATTTATATTTGGGCCACTCAGAGCAGTGGGGTGAACCCCAGAGGTGAGCGCTTCTTTCTTTTGCCTTCCCTTGGGCCCTGTTTATTGTGTGGTGTGGCTGAGTAGGCGCCTCGTGGAGCCAAAGCGAGTGCCATTCAAAGCAGGTGGGAGGCAGGGCGCTGTTGGTGGCTGTAGGCAACGCCTCCACACAGATACTGCTCACGGTCTATTGCCCCCTCCGCCTTGGGCTGATCTCCAGGCTTGCTCGGTCACACATGAGAACCAAGAAGTTGACGAAGCAGAGACAGTGTCCCCGCAACCCGATAACAGTATCTACGAGAGACCTCCCAGCCCCGGCCCGAGGCTGGGGTCGCTCCAGCTATCCCGACAGCATCATCTGCTAGAGATGCAGCTTCCTAAGGCGCTGAGCGATCAGACCCCGAGCTGCCCCTCTGGGTGGCGTCCCCTTCCTCCTGGCCACGGAAGGGACACTGTGGGTAGCACCAGGTGGGCAGCCTGTCCTTGCACTGGAGGTTGTTGCAAAGTGTCACTGCTCAGAGCATTTGCTCCCAGCTGGCAAGTCACGCAGAGTGCTGAGAGATGATGACAGCCAGCAGCCTGTGCAAGGGGGGGTCAGAAGATAGGTCAGCCTGCGTCTTAATTCAATTTGAATGTTCCAAAGTAAGTCAAAAGCCTTGAGGTCCAGGATTTTCTTAAGGGCATGATGACAAGTGCACTCTTGAGAGTTTCCTGGCCAAGTGGATGCCTCGTGACCTCCGGCCTCAGCAACGCCCCCTGCTGGTGGTGGCAGGAAAAGTCAGTTAAGACTGTTTTCAGGTTCCTTCTCAGGAGACTGCAGGATATTTAGTAATTATTGGTGTTTAAGATGGGAAGAGTGATCGTGAGTGATCGTTGGCCATCAGGAGCTAGGGGCATCACGGCCCTGGACGTGTCTCCTCTGCTTAGGAGCAGAAAGTTTTCTGTCTCCAGCTGTGTGGGGCCTCAGAGGACAGCGCAACAGTTACTCCACTCTGCACGTTGGGGGATAGACATTTGAGGAACCACCCATGAGCCGGTGCCCCCCCCCCCGTTCCACTGTTTCCATCGAAGATGAGCTGTACCGGGCTGTCTCGATGGGAAAGTTCATCTGAACGCCAAGGGTCAGGGGGCAGAGAAGATCCCCAAGATATCCACAAGAGGGAAGCTGAGTCCCTTCGGGATCTCAGGACCTCCCAGGTTAACTTTCAGGGTTGGTCCTGGTTGTACAGCACAATGGGATGGACAGGGAACAGGTTACAGCCACCTGCCTTGGTCTCCTTAGATCCCAGTGTCAATACTGCACCTTTTCTTATTCTCAGAGCCTCTGTCGGCATGTCTGAAGATGAGGCTATGAGGAAACAGGGCTTTCCTGAGGCTTGCAGGAGCTTTGGGTCTAAAGCATTACTTACACATAGTAGGCTCTTGAAACTGTCTGCTGATGCTGGCCGTATGGTCCTGCGTTCCCCTTCCTAGAAATGTGTGCGATCCAGTCAGCTTGGAAGTGTTCATTCTGGCCGGTCATCACCTATAGTCTTTTTGTTTTGTTTTGTTTTTTTTAACACTTTGTTTTACTTCCCTGTTTATTGCTTTTGACTCACAAATAATTATAGATGTTAATTGTGTATGACACAAGGCCTTGGTATATGTCTACACTATGAAATGACCAGATCAGGCCAATTAATCTAGCTACCCCATACTCATTTTTCTGGTGAGAATATCTAAGGTCTTGTCTCCTAGCCATTTGCAAGTGACAGATAATGTTTCCGTTATGAATCCTGGTCAGAGTTGTGGGATAGACCTATTGTCTCAAGAGATAATTGTGATATAGGTATCAGGGAGTACAATAAAATGATTGCTAGATGACAAATATTTTCAAACGTATCACTTCTCATCCTTGGATTTTGGTCTCTCCCTGGGAAAACCAACAGTGACAGGATATCTCTATGCAGGAGGTCACGTAGCAATCAAATACAGGCAACTCTCTACTGACATGCTCCTCACGGGCTTCCTCAGCTCTGCGCTAACATGCGCTCCACGCTTGTTATCCTGGCTTGTAAAGCAAGCGCTTCATTTGAGTGTTTTTTTTTCTCATACCAACGCCTCCATGGTCCATTTTCCCGTCGCAATATCGCCACCTAGTGTCCACAAGTACCAACTGCAAGGCCATGAACCTCTTTCTCACGTTGGAGGCGCTGGTGTGGATGACTACTGAGGTAAGGGACAGAGGTCAAAGTTTGAGGTTGAAGTTGGGTCTTGAGGAGAGATAGCAAACACTGAAGGGGAGATTAGGTTAGAGGTATCCCCTCTTTCCACAGACTGCCCCGGGTGAAGGAAGCAGTTGTTCGGGGGAGAGGTGTAATGCACAGACAGGAGAGGTTCACAGTTACCTCCCTAAATGCACCAAGACTCTCCCTCATCTGTGGGCCTGGAGAGCCAGGAGCCTCCCTCTGCAGATCTTCGGGCAGTCTTTCTTTCTCATCTTTCTCCCTCTGGGTTACGGGTCTCTTTTCAGGCCGGCAGCCCCAAGAGCTCCCTTGTGTTCCCACAGAAGATTAAGATTACTCTCCTGGTGTGTAAAAAGACAGGGGTGCCCAGTGAGAGCGGAGAGGCCAAGCCCCTCCGGAGGGCCTGGGGGAGCATTAGATGACCCGTCTGATGAGCATCATCTTTGTCACCGCCTCTCCTCCCCCCTAAGGGTCCCTTTGTGTCCTTGTCGCTTGTTCTGTGTTACACTAGGTGACTAGATGCTAAACTCACCTTGGCCCCCTGTCCTCAGGCTCTTACAGAGTTCCTGGGGTCCGAGAACAGCATGCACAGTTATAAACACCAAGGGCAGGAAGCAACTGTGGGCTGACATGATGCCTAAGATGTCCATCAGACTTATCTTTTTTGGGGGGTCTGTGCATTATAGTATGTCTATCCTGTACTATATGACTAAAATCTGCTTATAAGTGAGTATATGCCATGTATGTCTTTCTGGGACTACGTTACTTCACTCAGGATAATCTTTTCTACTTCTGTTTGCCTGCAAATTTTATAATTTCTTTGTTTTTAGTGGCTGAGTATTATTCCATTGTGTTAATGTACCACAGTTTCTTTATCCATTCTTCTGTTGAGGAACATCTAGGTTGTTTCCAGTTTCTGGCTATTTCGAATACAGCTGCTATGAACATGGTTGAGCAATGTCCTTGTTGTATGGTGAAGCATCTTTTTTTTAAACAATTGATTGCTTCAGATATTTTATGACAGTAATAGAAAGCTGACCAGCACAGCTGGTAACAGATGTATTAGCCCATCACCATGAATCTTGCCCTGAGGTTAGCAGTTGCCTTTTATTTTAGGAAGGGTCATTTTAGCATGACTGTATTATAAAATAAGTCTTCCTGTATCAAGGCTATGTACACAATCCTGCCTGGAGACGCTAAGATTAAGGACGTGCTTATTCACTGACATTCACTGTGATAAGACATTTACCTGCACCGTGATAAGACTATTATTGCAACAGAAGGGTTGGGGTACAGAGAGCTCAGCTCAAACCAGCCTGTCATTCAGCTCTGTGTCCTTGTGCGCCTGACCCTTAGCCTCCCTTACTTTGGCTCCCCTACTGGTGCAGAGGCTGTTGTCAATGGGCTACCCTTGTGGAGGTGAGAAAATGCAGGGGAACACTGGATGGAAGACAAGCACCAACAGCACTGCAGTGGCTGAGCACTGAGTTATTAGCACCTCACGGCAGCTGCTCCTACACAGGTCAAGGGTCAGCTCAGAGGACAGTGACATCATCCCTGGATAGAACAGGCTTACACGTAGACACGCGACTCAGTGTGGGTTTTTTATGAGGATTATGCTTTGACAGACAAGAGAGATTATTGGAGTTATCCTTTCTTCCTCCTCCTCCTCCTCCTCCTCTTCTTCTTTTCTTTTTTAGACAGGATGTCTCATTATGTAGATCAGGATGGCCTCAAACCCACAGAGCCCACAGACACCCACTGGCCTCTGCCTCTCAAGTGCTGGGCTGAACAGCATGCTCCACCTGAATGGCTTCTAGATAACTAAAACACGAAACCCCAGGAATCCTTATATAGGTGTGATACAAGAGGCAGGTTAGATTAGCTTTTCTTTTCAGCTTGACATAGTCTAAAATCATGTGAAAAGTGTGAGTCTGAGCAGGAGCTGACTACATGAGCTTGGCCTGTAAGCAAGTCTGTGGGGACTGTCTTACATGAATTGGTGTGGGAAGGCCCAGCCCACTGTCCATGCATGGCGCTACTCCATAGGCAGGAGGTCCCAACTGTTGAAGAGCCGGAGAAACAGCCAAATGCAAACAAACGAGCAAGCAAGTAGCCGTGCATGCATTCATTTCTCTCTGCTCCTGACTGTGGGTGTGAGGTGATGAGCCGCTTTGAAGTCCCTGCCTTGACTCCTCCACTACCATGGACGATATAACCTAGAACGGTAACTGAAACAAAAACTCCTTTCTCCCCTAAGTTCCTTTTCTTCCGGGATGTTTTATCGCAGCAACAGAAGTGAAGCTATAATGGCAGACTCGGATGTGACTGACACGCAGGGAGCCCCCTCCCAGCCATCTGGACAGCACTGTAGTGGAGTTTGGAAGATCCTTTTGCTCAGTAATATATGTCCATGGCATTCCCTCCCACACCCCCAGCAAACGTATGACCTAGAGTGTAAAGCCATGCTGTGCAAGAGCGATCAGGAAGATGCAAAGAGCTCGTGTGTGTGATAACGGCTTGGTGTGTTCATTGGCTGTTTCCTCTGGGCAGTGTTGAGCACTTGGTAAACTAAGCACTGTCTCGCCTCCTCCTCTTTACACTAGTGAGAGCACCAGGGAGGCCTACAGGGTTAAAGCGACCCCAGGGTAAATGACAGTTGCGTAGATGAATCAGCGTCCTCTGACATTGTACAGAGAGTGGCCCTAGCTGAGGAACGTTCCCACTGTGCCAGCCCAGTTGCTGTTTTGGCTGTATGGACTGGAACATTGATATTTAAGGGTTCTATGAAATTTCCCAGTGTTCCTCAAAGACTCCGATCAAGTGTGTCTGACGGAGTCGGCTTTCCTAAGCATCCCCTCACCTTGTCTGGGGGCAGCAGTGGGGGACTGGGACATAGACAGGAGGAGAACTGGAGAAAAGACTATACCGGGAAATCACCAGGAGGAGAATGACAAGGAAGAAGAGCAAGGAAGAGCCTCCAGCTCTCCGGGGAGCCGAGGGCTGGCAGGTGAGAAGACGCAGACAGTGGCCATCAGTGACCTTCAAGGTGTAAACAGCAGACTTGTCCAGCTTACAGGAGTCACTTAAACGTACGTCTCTTCCTTCTTTTTCTCCCAGGTTTACAAAACCCTTCATCTTCATATGTATATCATTGAGATTTATGTTAAAAATAGATTTCAGCAGCTGTTCCGTGGTATAATTATCCCCATGACATCAGCGGTACATCCAGTACCAACTTCTTTTGTTGTCACTCACCAAATGCCACCAAGAATCACGTACTGTTCAGCGATGACAGCTGCTTTGTGGGCACTTGGGTATAGAACTGTGGTCTTCGCAGACACCTTCCTCAATCCATATCCACAGCCTGAAAGTTGTCCGGCATCCTATGGAGCTGACGGGTAGCCAATAACATTGTCAGAGCCACCCAGAGAGGTGCAGAGTCACATTTTGGTTTATGGGGGGGGGGGTGAATGGGGGGATTTGTGTTAAAAAAAAAAAAAGTTTGTTGTTGTTTTTTTTTTTCTCTCTCTCTTGAAGTTGCTATTATAACTCAGCTCTTCTGATTATCAAGGACCTGTAGTACCTGATAAACAGGCCCAGAAACTGAAGTGTTGAAAGGTGGTGTTTTTGTTTCTCTTTTCTTTAATGGCTAGCGTTTGGAAGCTGAGAAGGAAGGAGAGGGGGGCGTGTCTAAGAACTGCCCGACTTTTTCCCTGTTGTCTCAGTCCTTTGTCCACGTCGTAAGAGATGACCCGAGGCTGGTGGGTTTGTAAAGGACAGGGGTTTGCTTTGATTCAAGGTTCTGGACGTCAGGACATCTAAGAGCGTAGTGCTGACAGGCACCTCAGGCTGTTTCAACATGGCAGACAGCAGAAGGGCAAATCTGCGTGTGTGTGTGTGTGTGTCTGTGTGTGTGTCTGTGTCTGTGCGTGTGTGCCTGCGTGCCTGCGTGCGTGTATGTGATCTCACTTTGTAATAACCAGCCCTTGCAATAGCAAACCCACCCCTAAGAGAAGAACGTTTCTATTATTTACATCTGAAATGTCCGTATGACTCATGTGTTACGCCATGGTTAATTATGATGCTATTGGAGGCAGCAGAACCCTTAGGAGGTGGAGCCTAGTGGGAGGAAGCGAGATCCGCAGGGCCTTGCCCGAGAAGGGAACGTGTATCGTGTTAAACTGTTCACTTTCTAGCTGCTACGGGGTGAACAGTTTAATACACTACATGCCCCCAGCATGATGTGTTATCCTACCCCAAGCCCCACAATAATGAGATCAAGTGATCTCGGACTGGGAGCCCAAACTTTGCTGCTTAAGAATAAGTTGCTGCTCTCAAGAATTTGCTATAGTAATGGGAAGCGGATTAATCCCTCACTGCTCTCAGCTCTGCTGGAGCTCCGCCTCCCAGGGCTACCAAGATGGCAACCAGTCTCAGCAGGGGATTTAGGAAGAACAAACCACATTCAACTCTTCACTCTCACCATCTTCCCTCTACCCCACCCTCACCGCCTCGCCTCCGCATGGCCATCCTGTCCAGCAAACTCTGCCATAGCCCTTGGGAAAGGGAGCTCTTTAGCACAGCAACGCTGTTCTTCTTTGAAGACAAAACCCAAAGTAGCTGTGGGTTTGATGAATAAGAAGCTGGGCAGGGTCGACACTGTGAGATCCTGTGTGGATAATTGTAGAAGCCACCTGCTTTCTCCCGGAAAAGCTGGTAAAAGAGCTGGGTCTACCTATGGCCAGAGGATGGACCTGGTGTGATGAAGGCACTAGCTGCTGGTTTCCCAACAGTCAAGGCTGTGGCTGTGGCTGCTGCTGTGATGGGACTTGGAACCACAAGGAGTCAAAAGCCTTTGACTTTGAGGAAAAGCTTTGACTTTTGAATTTGAGATACAGTTTTCTTCCTTCCTTGCTTGCTTTTAAAAGTTTATTTTCTTTTTGCCAATTCAGACAGCAAGTTACACTCTCTCTTACTCTCACACAGAGGAAATGAGCTAGTAAAGTCCTTGCTGGCTGATGGCCCAATTGCTGTGCATTGGGATCCCCAGGGCAATGGAGACCTTTACTAGGCAAGCAGCTTTGGGGAGAGGAAGACAAAGGATTGCCCTGTGGCCTTTGTGGCTTTACCTCACACCTGACCGCTGTTAGCTAGTAGGCATTACCCACTCCATCCTTAGAATAGTGACTCAGGATGTCCTGTAGTCACTGCTAGTGGAGGGAAGCCAGGTGAGTTTAGCTTGCTTTTCCTCCTGCTCTTTCCGACATGTTCCTTTGCTGCTGGACCATTGTGCTGCCATGGGAGAAGGGGGCTAGCTGAGGGGAAAGGCCTTCCAGGCAACCATCCAGGCTAGAAATCTTAGTAATTTTATCTGTGTTTTAGAAACCTCCCCACCATCAGTCCCAGCCCAGCAGCAGCTCAGGGAACAAGGGGATTGGATTCCCAGCAGGGTACTGCTTTCCAGTAGAACTGAGGAACAAAAAACAGCAGGGAAGCTGTTTACACAGCCCAGGAGCCCTGTTAAGGAGGGGCAGGAAGAGTCTCAGCCTAGTTAGCTGCCAGAGCAGCAAGTAGGAGACAGCCAGAGAACCAGGCTGACAAATGAGGGGACTCCGGATTTTGGCAGATGGCAGAAAAGCCATGCCAGCTGCTCTTTCTCCGGGCTCCCCAGGCCACTGGTCAGTCATGTCATGTTGATCCTTAGGACATGAAGTGAGGTTCATTTGAAGAAAATTACATCAAGGCTTTCCATTTGTACTTCCGTTGTCTCTGAGAACCCCCTGAAGTTGAGTGGCCTTGGCACATTCGTGGCTAGAGTGATGCCCCTGGCAGAGCAGGTCCTAAGCTGCCGTCATCCTCCCTACTCAAGCAAATCAACCCTGCTTTGATACAGCTTCCTATGTACTGTGACTCAGGGTTGACAGACTCCTTGGTCCCCCAAATAGTTCCTTAATCACTTCCCCCTTTTAGGCCCTTAGTCATCCTGGAAGACTGGCTGATGAATCACCCTTTGCTCTTTGTTATACACTGCAGGGGACCCCAGCTGTCAAAGCCTGTGGAGAAAATGGGCTTTCAGCCCCCGCTGGAAAGAAAAGCAGAGGAGGATGGTTCTAGGATGCCTGGTGCTTTGGGCCCCTGAATCCCGGATGGAGACACTGTCCAGCTGCTGGTTTGAGGATTGGGACAGCCCAGAACTCCCTTCAGAAAGACACCACCCACTAACTACTGATGTGAAGTGAAGTGAAGTTTAAGAAGAAAAGGACCGGGTTTCTGTGACCCAGCAAGACCAGCTTTCTTGGCTAAAATCTCTAATATCTGCTCCCCTGTGAGGGACTTTGGGGTCCCAAAGAGGGGTTCATTCATTTCTGCCTGGGGGGACTAGGCATGTTGGCTGAATTGTGTCTTTTAGATGACATTGCAAGCCAGGCATGGTAGCATGTGCCTGTGGTTCTGGCACTCAGGAAGCTGAGGCGGGGGGATAGACAATTTTGGGTCAGGATGGGCTACACAGTGAGACTCTCTCAAAACCAAACAAATACCTTGAGAAATTTATTTAACTCCCCCCTCTCTTTCCCCCTCTCTTTTCTTCCTCTCTTCCTCTCTCCCTCCCTCCCCATTTTATAGATTACTGAAATGTTGCAGTAACCACTAAAACGAGCAACTTGATTTCTTCACTCCACAGCGTAGTGGCCTGGCTGCGTGAGTTTGGACGTGGCCCGCTCCCTTTATATTTTCTTTACCCACCTCACCACTGAACGTTTATGTTTGTTCCTAGATTCTCCTGCCAATGCCGTATAGTAATCCGTGTCCACGTGTGGGCTCCTGGAGGTGCTTGCATTCGTTATTAGGTGGCAGTTACTGACTTCCTGATCTCTTGCCGAACTACCTGTTGAATGACGCTGCGCATGGCCATGTGGATTGCCCACTGCACTTGAGCAAAAGATTCCCACGAATTTGAGTGCTTCTGTTCTTCTGTTGAGGTTTGTGTCCTCAACAGACATTAGGGCCATGCCACGTCTCAGAACGTGGCTGCTCCTTTGCCCTAGAAGATGAATGAGAAGATGCAGAGTCATGCCGGTCCAGGTTAGCCCAACCAGTCAGCTGAGCCATAGGCAAGGTCAGCAGAGGCCCAGGGAAGGGTAGCCATAGCCAGGCTACTGTCCTTGGGTTACATGGGAAGAGAAATGGCTGAGGCTGAAATCTATTGGAATTTGAGACTAGTCATTCGCCACTGCTAAAGCTGATTAATAGGCCCCAAAGAGTAAAATGCTGTCAAAATTAAACCTAAACTATGTGGCTTTGGCCCTAGGGGACTGCCAAGTAGGCAATCTAGACTGTCTAGTTCGCTTGGTAAAACTGTTAAAATATTAAACAGAAATGTCTATAAAAGCCAGGCATGGTTGACAAACCTGCAATCCCAGCATTCGAGGCAAAGGTAGGGAGACAGAGTTCAAGGCTAGCCTGGGCTACACAGCAAGACCCTTCCTCGAAAGAAGTGAAAGAACAAAATCCCTGGTATGAAGTAAATCCAAGAAATAATCAAAAATTTTCCCCTATGAAATAACACCTTTACTACTTTGGTTCACAACTAAAGTTCCGAATTCATAATTAACCTCCGTGCCCGTGAGCTCCTTATGGGTGCCAGAAAAGTTCCTGCTTGTGTCCCATGGTGCTCTGCAGTGCTGTGGCCACATCAGCCAGCGCCCCCATTTCACATGATTCCCTTGCTCCAATTTCACTCAGGGAGGCCGGTTTCCAAGTGTCACGTGGCACATGGCTGTTACAGCGTTGGTCCCACATGAGTCTAGAGTTGGCTTCAGCAGAGTTCTCCTCTCACCAGCAAGGTCACATCCTCCCCCTTGGACATTTTCCTTTCTGGAAAGGAAACTGAGGAACTGGAATAAAGATGTGTGTGTGTGTGTGTGTGTGTGTGTGTGTGTGTGTGTGTGTGTGAGCGTATGTATGTGTATATGAGTGTTTTCAAGTTCCAGCTTAAGAAAGGTGGCT